CTCTCCCCGCACACACACACGACTCCATCGAAGAAACGACAGAACATAAAAATTAAAAAGCAGAAAATGAACAAAAAAGGAAGAGAAACTGAGCACATGCACGCACATACAGGTGGAGGGTTAACTCACCCTTATTTATGGTGGCCCGGTCGTCTTTAAGACTCGACGCAATGAACAGTCCAACCCTCAGCGTCTTCGACCTTCACGATAAAGAGCCCAAACCTCCAGCAAGAGCTTCGCGCCCACAAATCCGCATGAACCGCACGAACTGCTGTCGAAAATGTACGCCCGTGCGTTTGTGATGAGTGTGTGTGTGTGTGTATGGGTGTGTGTGTGTGCGACGAGTGTGGGTGTGTTAGTAGCGTAGCCAATAGAGTCCTCTCTCTCTCTCTCTCTCTCTCTCTCTCTCTCTCTCGCACTCACACACACACACACACACACACACACATCCGAGTAGACGGTCCGAGTAGCCAGTCGAGAGACCAGCGTGGCATACAACATGTAGTAGCGAGTCGAGAATCGAGAGTCGAGCTTCTGTCTCACACACGTCAGGTAGAGTGTCGAAGTTCAAGTCGAGAATCCAAAACCAAAACTCAGAAAGTTGGTTACCAGCGGCCGAATGCGGGGAACCTGCGCCGTGTACCGGCCACAGATTGTCCGCGAGGGGTACCGGTCAAAACTCGCCGCCTGGCAAGGGCCTGTGCTGTCGGGGGCACCGGGCCAGTGCCGCGCGCTTCCGGCCTCCCGCGACTGTTCAGTTCCTAACAATCTACTCTCAATCTAGACGGTGCTATATAACGCCGGACAGTCCAGATTGAGAGTTGAACCGGCGACAGTCCAGCTTGGGAGGTTTTTTTTTTTTTTTTTTTTTTTTTTTTTTTTTTACAACTTTCGTACTCATATTATCAAATGAAATCTTTGAGGCCGGGGACCTCACAATTCCACCCGGAGTTATCCCGGCAGCATCAGCCGGTTTAGCTTATGTCTGATCATGTTGACCTCCTATCTCAACAAGCAAGGTCTTTGTAAGGGACGCTGGATCCGATTTCCAGCAGGTGAAGCTCCCCACCAATAGATCGAGTGGTCGAAAGCAGATCTACTAGGGAAGGTTTCTCGTATCAACCCCCCCCTCTCTCCCCCCCAGTAGACTTTCACTGGCAGTTGAAAAAAAAAAAAAAAAAAAAAAAAAAGCAATACTGGTGATTTGACAATACTACCAGACTCGGCAACAACCTTAGACGACGATCGGTGAATGTGTGAGCAAAATAGCGGAACAGTGGCGGCCGTAGGTATGGAAGCGCTACCAAAAATACCATTTAACACTATCCTGGCGGTAAGAAACGGACAGATACGAAGTCTCCAATGGTTAATAGCATGGTTAGCATTTGTTCCAAAAAAAAAAGAGGGTTAGCACTCTCAGTCAACATTGGCCGGAACCGGCACAGGTGCCAAGACCATTAGGAGCAACAACAAAGATCTCTGTGCAATTTGTGACACAGGTGAGAAGGAAGATATCAGATACAGTCTTATTCTATGGCCCAAAGCGAGAGAGATTTGGAAGAAGGCCATGGAGTCATGGACCTGTGGAGAATCGTCGCGACTGTGTCACTATGCTTACAGGCCTCCCTGAACCTGAGGGTTGGAAAAGCACGAATGGAAACTTCTTGGAAGATTGAATAAGTAAATCTCAACTACCTGGGCCAGCCAGATCGTATCTCAAGGCCGTTGGCCTTTCCACGAGGTAAAAAACAACGAAGAACAAGATTGAGACCCCTGCTGCTGTGGAGAGTTTGGAAAAAGAGATGGAAGACAATAGAACCAGCAGGCACGGGTTGAAGAGGTGTGGGAGGCTGGGAGGGAGAATTGGAATTTCCTCTGTTAAGATTTCTGAAATTGAAATGCTGGCGAAATTTCATGAAAATGCACTTTTGCCTTGCTGTTTTATATGTTTTTTATTAATTTTTTTTGGATTTTGTTTTTTCGCAGTTAGTTAGTATGGTCTCCACTCTATGAATTGGTAGCAAGTTTGATTAAAATGACCCTTTGGTTTTCTTATAAATGGCATGGCAAGTGGTCTGAAAATTAGGGTCTCTGTTAACCTTCTCTCCCAGCTGAGAGGAATTCGCTCTCATAGATGAGATTCCAATAGCAAATATGGGTAGTGGAAAAAAACTAGTCCAAATAGGCTAACCCAGGCAGGGGTGAAGGGTGGTACATCCTTCCCTTGGGAAGTAATCAATGCTGTCCTTTTTATATATATATGATGGGGTGTGAACCGACAGTCTGTAGAGTTTTCCATCTGGTGTGGGTGAGTGATAGTCTACTTTGATTTTGGTTAAGGTAGATTATCATTTACAGTGTAATCAGTGAGGGGATTCTGCAGACTGTTGAGGGTTCAG